AGGGATGGGGTGGCTGGGTGATGGATATTGGGGAGGGTATGTGCTATGGTGAGCACTGTGAATTGTGTAAGACTGATGAATCACAGACCTGTACCACTAAAACAAAGAATACATTATATGTTAATAAAAATAAATAAATAAACAAACAAAATCATGGTGCCTGATTACCTCCCTTGCCTAAAACTTCCATTTCCTTTTCCCACTCTCCATCCATTAAACTAACCTGGCAATCCTAGATAAACCCAAATTTCATAGTCAAGTAGCTGACCATGGAGAGAGAAAAAAGCACTCCCAGGCTAACTGTTCTCACTCTAAATAAATGAACACAAGTTTTAAGTGGACCCTCAGCACTTCCCAGCTATGCTACTATATTCCACTAGGTAATTCACTCTTCTAGAAGAGTATTTCAAACCTTCTCTTCTCTAAGACTGAGTTACTCAGCAACCACTTCCCCAACTGTCCTCAAACCGTTCAATCGCTGCCACTTCTCTGGCACTCTTCTTCTTACCTCAGTATATGAAGGTGTTCCTTCCTGCCTCCACCCAGGTTCAGCCCTTCGCCAAGATGGATTAACATCACCTCACCAAACACAATGTTCTTTTTTTGCCCTTTATTGCCTGGTCGTATCTACCCACACATAACTCAAATGTAGCTGCTTTATTTTCTATTAATTGATCAAATCTGTCTCATGGACATGGGGGCTGTTTTTTCTATAATTAGTCTAATCTTCCTCATGAACACTCACCCTAGGAAATAGCCAGAAATTTAAAATTTGCCAAATAATATCTGAGTCTCTTCCAGTTAATATTCAGACATTAAGTTTAATTCCTTACCAGAGTTGGTTTAAATAGATGCTTTCAGGTAAATTTTTCTCCAGATGGGACTTAAGGGATATCCTTATGGTGGCAAGAAGACCTAGGATCTTGGTGTCTCCATGGATCTTCACTGACCTCTGGGGCAAAGAGGCGATCATGTCCCACGGCTGGACTGGTGCCACCTCACCTGTGGGATGTCATGCCCACTCCCAGCGCTGTATCCATGATCCCGACCTTCAGTCTGGAGTTGTACGATGCCTGCTGGGCCACCAGGTCCCTCAGCTCCTCTGCAGCCCTCCCAGTGGTAGGAGAGCATTTCAGACCCCCTGCTACCACAGGCTCATCTGTCTAGCTACTTCCTTCCACCACTGCTGCACTATATCCCCATGTTGGCAGAGCAACAACCCGCACAGCTACCCCCTCTCGAGGTTCCAAAGACGGAGCACAGCCAAAGACCTTCTACTTTTGACCCTCCCCTCAACCTATTTAACACACTCACCCCAATTCCAGAACTTGGGCCAGACAAGGAAGCTCAAAACATGTATTTCAGGGGCACCTGGCTGGCTTAGTCAGTGGAGTATGTAACTCTTGATCTCAAGGTTTTGAGTTCTAGCCCCACATTGGGTGTAGAGATTACTTTAAAAAAAAAAAAGATTTTTCAAAAAAACCCAAAAAACATGTATTTCTCACACTGTTTTCCCTACCTCTCTCCCCTTTCTTCCCATAATTCACCAGGGCTTTTTCAGGGCTGGAAAAGATGGACTTTCCATTTCCAATTCATCCTCCTTCCTCTTGGGAGGCACTAAGCCTCAAGCTCAGCCTCAATGAAGGAAGAGATATCATATCCTCTTTACCCCATAGAAGAAACAATCATTAGAGTATGTCAGAGAAAGCTCTTGATATGGGAACTACAGGCAGCTTGGAACTTTAGAAAACAAAAACAAACATATGGTGACTTACAATTTCCTTAAAGACTATCCCTTCACAACTTCAACAGTCAACATCTCCTGTGTGCTAGGCTCCAAGGATATAAGGTTAGAGAACTAGGTCAATAAAGTGGGGAGACCTACAAACAATAATTACAATGGAATTTTATATGCTGCATTTACCAAAACAGAAAACACAAGTAACCCATTTGTCAATCTTTTCCAGGTCTGTCAAATTAAAGAGGTGAGCAACTGCAGAAAAAGGATGATATAAATTATTTCAGGTCACAACTTTGTATCATTTAATCTTTCCCCAATTTACATACTTCATTTTTTCTACTCACAAGATGAAAAACCCTTCCTTACTGAGAGGAAAAAAGGAAGCCATGAAGCAGATTCAAGTTTTTCTATTAATAAAAACAAATATGCAAGAACTAAAGCACTTTTCAAATAGCCCAAGACCAAAGAAAATCAGGTAGAATGAAGTAATAAATTATAATAAGTCTATTAATTTATGTTGCCACCCCCCTGTTACTGTTACAAAGGAATATTTTCATTCCATTTAATTCAAGTGGAAGACAACAGAAAGGCAAGAACAGCTAGAGGAAAATTCAGCCAGATGTTCTTAACACAAACTAAAAGCTTACTATGTGTCAGGCACTGGGGCTACAAAAATTGAAAGATGTAATACCTACTCTCGAGGAATTCACAACTGATGATGAACAAATTTTACTTATAAGGTGATAAAGAACACAGAAACTTTATCCCAATGACGGTCATTCAAATTGTGGAAGAAAACTGCATGAAACAACACACCAAAGTTTGATTTCTCTAACACTGTTTTCAGACTGTACTGATTCCCAACAAGGCACTGCAGAAATACTACAACCACTGAAGTGGAAGTGTTCAACAGAGCACCTACTACCACAGCACAAATCAGCTATATCCTAGCAATCCGAAGTAAATAAGTGTAAATGTGTTTTTTGTGTAAAGCACTACTGAGTGCGTGTCACTATGAAAAACTCCTTTTGTTTTTGTTTGGATGCTTGGCATTTACTGATATCCCTTTTCTTATTTTATGTTTGCTAATTTCCCCACTATTATGAATACTGGTGGGAACAGAGCCTGCCTCCTTTCCTAAAAGCCAAGAAGTCCTAACAGTCACCTTCTCAAATTCCCTTGCCGCTAGGATTCAGGCAGTGACCTAATCTCAGCCACTCCAAGATACCACTAAGGACTTTTGAATCAGAAGCTAATTCCACAAAGAAGCATGGATGAGAAAGCAGCTTTCCAGCAATACCCCGTTTCCCAACAGCAGTGGCAAGAGTAGCGGCAGCAGGGCCCAGGATCGTGGTGCTGGTAATACATGTGGGAGCAGCGAGCACTATCAGGCAGCATCACAAGTGATGTACTCCCCAGGTACCAACCCCAACTACTTCTGAAGTGTAATTCTGACTATGGAACTCTCCTTGGTTCCTGCCCACTTTCACAACTGGGGTTCCTCCAGACCTGAGAGCAATGCTAAGATCTCCCCAATGCTCTTGCATGAAATTCCTTTTGTGCTTAAAGCAATACTAACAAGTAATCTCTTGCTAATAAGATATATGAGTGATAGCCAACAGTAATGAAATAGTACGGTAAAGGAAGAAGCATCTCACCCATGAACGGCTGGATCTGTGTAGTCTACTTTGGAAAACAGACAATTCTGTGTGTCACATGACTCAAGTTCAGCTCTGAAAATTCAGTGAATAATTTGTCATCATGTATTAATCCCAAAACTTTTCCATCCCAACTACTAAATAACTTTGCCAGTCTGATTTCATCTGGAAGACGAACCACACCTTCTCTCTTCATCAACTAATATTATAGGATAGCAAGTTCTCCACTTTCAAACTCAAGATACACCCCTAGATGATTTAACAGCATGAAGAGCCCAGGTCTCTAATTTGCTTGAATAAGAATCAAAGATCAATAAATTTCAATGTGGGGGCCTCAGCAAACAGTTGAGTCTTGAAAGGAATTAACTGTTTCCAAAACTTTTTCAATTCTGAAGTTTACAAAAACTTCAAAGGCTCTCTCAACTAATTTTTTGTTGTTGCTGTTATGATAACATCAGGAAGCTACAGATACAACTATTATTGTATAGTAACTTTAAAATACAAAGTTAAATAAAGTCCTCAATTACGAATCAAATAGGGAATTGGTTAAGATCAATGGTCAAGCTACCGATTTGAATTCTGCAACTACTTCCTCACCTCCATCCACCCAATCCCAGGCTAAGAGAAGAAGGGCAGTCCTGGAAAAAAAAAAAAATCATCCCACCCATCTCAAACAGAGCTCTCCTCTTTGGCAGATAACAGGAGCTCAGTAACATTAGTTGCTTGACTACAATTCCTATGACTGCATATATATTACATATTTCCATAAATTGCTTTAACATAGCACTTTACATTGGCCCAGTGCTTCCAGCTTATGAAACACTTTCATGTGAATTCTCGCATCCCAATAGGTGGTTAAGACTTAAGACTTGCCTGCACAGCCATTAAATGCAAAGCACATCACGGAACCTCAGTAACTTACGCTCCCATAGCACTGTACTGCATCTCTATTTCAGCCCTTCTGATTCGCTGTAATTAATTCTCGCTCTCATTGATATGCTCCATAAGGATTCTTAAGGATGCCCCGTTCATCTTCGTAGCTCCAGGCAGAACACAACCTGGACCCTGGAAAGTGTTCGGTAAACACCGACATTCTTCCGCCTCCTGCCAGCCAGATCCTCTCCTGGCTGGGCCTGAGCACCAAGCCCGGTTTGCACACATCTCTGCGTTCCCCCCTCCCCAACCCCAGCCAGTTGTCACTTCCAGGGCCGCACCGATGAAGCGTGCCGCCCGGGACACAGACTTCTTGTTCCCCGGTAAAACTACCCGCAGCACAACGCTGCCCCTTAGCTCTGCCCCACGGGCTCCCTCCCATTCCTACGGCAGCCCAGGGGGACGGGCGGGGGTTCTAGCGGGCCCAGCTCGGCCCGACGGAGCGGCGGGGCCTGAGCCTGGGACGCCCCCAACCCCCGGCACCCAGCCCTCTGCCAGCCGCGACGCGCCCCGGGAACCGCGCTGCGGGGCTGGGTACCCGGGCAGCGCCCCCAAACGTGCGCACCCAAGGCCGCGCGGAGTCCCGCGGCGGGCGGCCCAACGACATCCCCCGCGCTCGGACCCTGCGCCGCCCGGGACTCGGGTGGGCGAGGGCGCTCCGCACGTACCCTAGGAGGCAGCGGTCGCAGACGACGCCACGACTCCCCTTGCACACCGTGTACGCCAAGGGATCCGAGCGGAAGAGCAGCTCTCCTGGGCGCAGCTGCGCCAAGGCGCGCAGCCCGTTTCCCCTATTGGCGGTGCTGAACTTTTCCACCTTCGGCGGCTCCATCAGCCCAGGTCCGCACCTCAGCGGTCCGCCGCGTCCTGCAGCTGGTGTCTCGAGTGCCACCGGGAGCCGCGCGCCTGCGCCTTGCGCGCACGCGTACGCCTGAGGGGCGGGGCAGGTGCGCGGGGCTTCTGAGCATGCCCAGACGGGTCCGGCGGCGAGGCGGGTCCGAGCGGCGCACGGAACCCTGCAGTGCCTCCGACACGGGGCTGGCCGCCATCGGTGCTCGAGCCGCTCCGCGAGGAGTGGCTGTGTTAGATACACTGCCCCAGCGTTCACTTGTGATCGTTTGTATGTAGAGAGGTGAGAGAACAGGGCGGTGAATACCTGTATACCCTACTCCAAGAGCAGACGGTTTTTAGCATTTCGCCATTTCTGCTCATTTTCTCTGCGCCGGTATGTAGGTATTGTTGTTGAACCCGTTGAAAGTAAGTTGTGTTGTTGAATCATTTAAAAGTAAGCTGCAGACATCATGAAATCTCATAACTCATTTCATAATTAAATACTGTCACATGTGATGAGGGAGCAGAAAGCTGAGGACAAAGCACAGACTGACACCCTGCAACACCGCCCCCGCCCCACTCCTGTGTGGGACGGGTGTGACATTCCTCCAGCAAGCTCCCAACTGTCTTCATGTTAATGCCTTGCTAGACGAAAAAGCAACCTTGACAATAGCAAGGCCTCCAGTGTCCTGAGGGTCTTTAGCTTGTGAAAAGTCCTTTTAGACACCTCCCTTTTTCTTACCTCCCCTAATTCCCAAGTATACAATCAGACATTTCTCACAAGCCCAGTGCAGCAGCTCTTTCTGCCCACAGGTCCTATCCCTGTGCTTTAATAAAATCATGTTTTTTGCACTAAAGATGTCTCAAAAATTCGTTCTTGGTGTGGGCTACAGACTTAAACAACATTCCAAAACTCCATCGCATGTAGTTCCTCAGAATAAAAACAATATCCTATAGGGCGCCTGGGTAGCTCAGTTGGTTAAGTGACTGGCTTCTGCTCAGGTCATGATTCTGGAGTCCTGGGATGGAGTCCTGCATCAGACTCCCTGCTCAGTGGGGAGTCTGCTTCTCCCTCTGACCCTACCCCCTCTCGTGCACTCTCTCTCTCTCTCTCTCAAGTAAATAAATAAAATCTTTAAAAATATATATATATCCTATAGAACTACAATAACAGGGGCACGGGGGTTGGCTCAGTAGGTTGAGCGTCTGACTCTTGGTTTCGGCTCAGACTGGGATGTTGGGGTCATGAGATTGAGCCCCACTACTGGCTCCCTGCTCAGCAGGAAGTCTGCTTCTCTCCCTTCTCCCTTTGCTCCTGCCCCCCCGCCCAATAAATAAATCTTAAAGAAAAAAAAACTACAATATCGTTACTGATGTGAGAAACAAAGGCAGAAGAAAATTATTAAATTTCCTTACTACTACAGCCCATTGACAAGTCCTTGAAACAGAGTGACATTCCTCTAGGGACTCAGCTGCCTCGATGTTAATACTTGACAAAGGGCAGAAGGCAATCTTAGCCCAACCCTCCAAGATCCTGTAAGTCTACTTTAACATATAAAAATTCCTTTGGAAACTTCCGTTATCTCTACTCCCCAAATTACACATTGGCAATCATTCCCCAAGCATATTACCCACCTGATGTGGTTTTGGAATATAGGTGAGGTTTGGTGGGGTGAGGTCCAGAGCCGATGATCAAGAAAATTCTTGAGACGTCTTTGGTGCATGAGGCTGGTTTTACTAAAGAATGGGGAAAGGACCAGTGGGCAGAAGGAGCTGCTGAAAGGTGACTGATTATATACTTGGGAATTGGGGGAGGTAAGGAAAAGAGAGGTTTTCAAAAGAACTTTCATATGCTAAAGAGGACCTACGAGGTACTGGATGCCTTTCCATTGTCAAGTTAAGGTTGTTTTCTCCTCTAGCAAGGCATTAACATCAAGAAACTTCCGGGGCGCCTGGGTGGCTCAGTTGGTTGAGCGACTGCCTTCGGCTGAAGTTATGATCCCAGGGTCCTGAGATCCAGGCCCTGCATCGGGCTCCATGCTCGACAGGGGGCCTGTTTCTCCCTCTCTGCCACTATCCTGCTCTCTCTCTGCCAAATAAATAAATAAAATCTTACAAAAAAAATTCAAATGGGTTAAAAAAAAAAAAAAAATTAAGAAACTTTCAAGTTGGAAATTTCCTGGAGGATTGTCACACATATCCCACCCTGGCGTAGCAAGGGGAGGTTGCAGGAGGTCAGCTTGTGCTTTGTCCTCAGCTTGCCTTCTGATCCGTCATCATATGGATATACATCCCCACTGATACACAGCAAGACAAGGGGCTCATGACAAAGGTTTTATTAAGTAGCTTCCTGGAAGAATATCACACATATCCCACCCCAGGGTTGGGGTGGGGGGTGCAGTTTGCAGGGTGTATCACACAGATCCCACCCCGGGAGGGGGGGACAGTTTGCAGGGTGTCAGCTTATGCTTTGTCTTCAGCTAGCCTTCTGATCCCTCATCATTTCCCTCCCTGAACAATTTTGATCCTTAAATCTTTAAGGTTGTTGAAGAGAAGGTCTCATTTTCTGTAACGTCTTCCTGCTGAATAGGGGCGTAGAGATGTCCCTACCTATGGGTCAGTATTGGTCAGCTGGAGAACATACAGGGGAGTTATGAAAGGGGGAGACAGCTAAATCCAACGCAGACAGCATATATGAACCTCCTTGAGTAGAAAGGATCAGCTGTCAGCTGCAAGTTATGGCAGTGAAGGAGTCTTGGCACTAGGCAGGTAGACACCGGAAATGACAACAAAATAAGGTTAATATTATAATGAGAAAGAGAAGCCTGAATAAAAGACCTTTGATAGTTGACCTTTGATAATTTTCCTCTAGTCTAGGATTTTAAAGCGATCACTTAAGGAAAGAGATCACTGAAAGTGCCAATTTGAGTATTGATGTCAGGTAGAAACACAGAAGTATTCTGTGGTAATCTGGAATGTATACACAGCATTCTGTTTTTATGCTAGCACAAGTTTCACCTTGTATAGCAGTTAAAACATCTAATGCCATTCTATTTTGTAAAGCTTCTTCACGCATTTGTATTACTTTAGTATTTAATAGAGAAATGTTATTTTGAGTGTCATTTAGGGCTTTGACCATGTACTTATTAAGAGCTTCCATGTGCCAAAGAATATCCTCCAATCTCAAAGAAGAAACAAAGATGGATGCTAGGTGGTTGTACCAATGAGACACAGAACATGTCCAACATTGTTTTAAATTTGGAAGGTTAGAAGGGTTGGTAATGGTTTCAATAATGTGTCCATGCACCCAGGCAAAACCCAGAGTACAGTGGCCTATCCAGCCTGGGGGAAGCCATGGCCACAATTTAGAGCCACAGAGCCTTTGGGTCCAGTAGGAGCCAGTCATATAATTGACTGCCATGTCATACTTAAAGGTGGTCACTGTATGCTTGGCTAAAGCCCCTACTTATAATTTTACAACTTATAATTTTAATAGATATAGTTCCTGGGACAAATATAACTAAGGAATAAAACCATCAAGAAGCCCTCTTTGTTTGAGGTCCAGCCTTAACAATATCCTAATTTTAAGGAATCACTGGCAATTGAGAGACTTGTCAAGAGATAAGGGCATCCCCAAGTACATTATCCAATCCAATCATAAAGAAAGTGGGGCCATCCATTATGTCCTCAAGTCCATAGTTAACCTCATAGAGTGGGGTACACTCAGTGGCTTTTAAGGAGTGATTTTGTGATACCAGCCACACAGAACTGGTCAAGGTGATAGTTGAGTTACAGTTGTTGGAGAATTAATCCTAATTAATCACTTGCCTGCGGGGTCCTGTATGATCACCACAGAATAACAAGCAAGAAGATTGTCTATACATGAGCTATTGTGGCAAATTTCTCTGAAGTTTACCTCAAGTTGTCTAGCTTAGGCAAACATTTAAGGATAACCAAAACTAGGATTTAACATCTGCAAAGATGTGTTATTGAAACATAATTCCTCTCTCTAAAATAGCCATCATTTCCAGAGATAACCAAATCAAGACTAATTTGTTTGCAAAACAAGTCCAATTTTAACAAACTTGGCCTAATTATTTACATAAGCTCAGCAAGAATGATTGATCATTTAGATCTTTTAGAATCTGCTTTGCTGGAACTTTTATAAGGAATCTCTAGGTTAAACTTTTAGTAGCTTCTCCAGGCCAGAAGCCAAGCCAAGTGCTTGCCGTCAGACATGCCTGCAATACCTGTAGATTTGGGTAAATTCCAACTCATGAGGTCCCCAATATATCCTGAGGTTCCTGCACTTGCCAGGAAGGGACATTCTTTACTCACCTGGTAAGGCTGCTGGGAACTCTGCAAGCAAAGTATCAGGCCAACATTTCGAACGGGCTTTATGGCTCAAGGTTTCATAAAGTCAACCTTAGTTCCTTAAAGCTGTTTGGTCATATCTGAGTCTCTGCATGTCTCTCTCAAATATGATATTCCAGTCAAAGCCTTGGTAAAATAACGAATGTTTCCAATGGTGTCCTGTTACAAGGAGTGATTGCCATGGAAGAAAGAATACTTACTGATAGACCTTTTGAATTTCAGAGGATTTAGGGTAGAGAGAAAAGTTAAATACTTCAATTTGTTTTATTATTTCTGTATATCAGTGATGTCTTAAGAGAAGGTTTTCTTAGTCTGGAAGAACCAGCAATGTTTCAACCAAGAGTTACAAAAAAACTATAATCATTTTTCCCAATTCACTTAGGCCCATGTTACTATTCTTATTTAGTTTGAATGCAGCTTTAGTTAGTTCTGGAAATTCTTACCTATTTCAGTTTTAATCTTAAAGATATCGAATACCTGTATTTTTCCAAAAGTACCTTATATGAATCACCTTGAAGATTAACCATTTTATAAGAGAATAACTATAAATGACAAAAGACTCAAAAATGAACATGGTTAAAAATCTGAGGTGAGGTTACAATATGGCTGGCAAGGAAATCTGGTTATTTCTGTGACACATAACACTTTTAATAATCAAAATATTAAGTGATGGTCTCACACCAGAATATATTAAAACTTTAGGAACTGCATA